AACGTGGACACCTGCAGCTTATAGACAAGGTCGGCTTATGTATGTACAAAACGTTTTCTTTTTAAAGTCAGTGGGTGCGGCTTATATTCAGGTGCGCTCATAGTCTGGAATTTACGGTAGTAAGAACAAGTACACATCCGTGAGGTCCACAGTTGTCCATGTGAGCAAGAGGCTTCAACATGAAGCATCAAATAAGTGTAACTTAGCATAAAGACAGGGAATGGGGGAAACAACTAGCCTGTTCCAAGCACACCAAAATATTCAGTATAGTTTTTTAGATTATGCTAAAAATGTCCAGCAGCATGAAGAGGCACTGAGTGTTGATGCTACAGTGACAGTTACCAGGTGAAATGTTGGACTCATCTCTGTCACTTTAACTCATCCTTTAAATCACAGTAAAAGTTGTTTTTTTTTTACATATATATAGTTTTTTGCATAATTGGGCAAAGATTCCGCACCAACCTTTCCGAATGTTGTAATTTAAGTAGTCTGAGAGGAAACTAGACCTCTGCACTTCCTCTTAGATGTATTTTCCAGCCTTTAAAAATCTAGTCCGTGACCGGAGATTTTAGCCACAGGGGTTTTTCCAGAGGCCTTTTTCCAGATTTTTGCCTACTGCAGCTTTAATCGTTTCAAGTGTAAAACCAACCACTCATCCCTTGCTGTGTCTTCATACTAACCTAATTGGCTTCATATAGCTTCATAAACTTTCTTCTCCATAAACTGTTTGAACTGCTGCCATCAGGCAAACGTTTCCGGAGCATTAAAGGAAGAACCTCCAGACTGATCAACAGCTTCATTCCACAAGCTGTCAGAATGCTGAACTGCTGACCTGGATGTGCAAACACTTCTGTATTTAAATTGCTTTAAGTTGTTGGATCCTGAAGAAACGCTCTCTCATCTTTCCTGTACTGCTGTGTATGTACAACAAAATGACAATAAACTTGATTTGATATATATTTAACAGACATGAGAATGGTCCTCTTATCCACAAACTTTCAAAACAGTTTCTTCTTAGTGGTATCTTCTTCTTCTTCTGACTAAACTCTCAGTAACTCCTAATTTTAAGGTTTCTCTTCCACGGTTGTTAGCAAAAAAAAAAAGCCTGTAGTTTAGAGCAATGAGTAGGACTGACATGGTGACACTGACAGCACAAGAAAATAATAATTTCTTAGAGAAATGATCCCAGTCAGGACACGGAAAGGCCTGTTATTTTAAATCTATATTGTAATCAAGACAGTCATCAGTGCACAAGCTACAGTCCCATATCTCCGCACCATGTAATACCACATCAAGCAGCTCCAACGGTTTCTACAGCTGACTCAGTCATGGTTAAGCAATCTGTGACCGTTTTAATATACGATGGCTGATGTCATATGCATTTTTATGGGCTATGATATATGAATCATTGGCTCGTAGAGTCACATTTGCTTTCAGACATGCAGGGGCCTCGGGACACATGTTCATCATATGCTGCTGATAATGAAAGAAACGATGATATGGAAATGCAGGACTTTGTTTTACTCCACTGTTTTCCACATGTGTGTGTATTTCCACAACATGACTGTGTTGTGACATGTCTCCAAGTCTGCATTTGTGGAATTTTGGGAGGAAAAAGGGCAATTATGTGCTTTAAGGGTTTAGCCCACATGTAGGTTGAGTAACTGTGGGAAAGTGGAAGACAAATAGGAGGTAGAAACGCAGCTCTAGATTTAGAGCCACAAATTATGGATCGGTGACTGAATGTTTGAGTATTCTTTTGTTTTGTGCGTCGGACGGTGTACCAGATGTGGGTACAACCCGGCTACGAGAGGATGAGTGAAGATCTGAACCGCCCAGTCGCGTCCACGTGGTGTTTTGTGTGCCAACAGGAAAGCCCACAAAATAACATCTTCATATTGCTCCTGCTTAAATAACTAAAAATTTGGTAAATCCACAGTTATTACGCAACCGGCTAAGTGCTAAAAACAACAGCCTTGAGAACAGAGAGGCAGGATGAGTAGCCTGGAAAGCCATTTAGCATTAATCCTTCATGACTGCGCGTACCGTCGAGCAGATTGAGTCTGAAGTTAATGGTGCTTGGGTTGGACCCTTTCTGGTCCCACTGAGACTGTGACACAACCCTTAAGATTCTCAAGGGCAGATCAGGTTTACCGGCACAGCGTGTGGTGTTGTCTGATAGAGCTTAGAAACTTCAACACAGCTAATTAAGACAAAAATGGAAAGAGCACAGCAACGCCTGAGACATGTACAACACATCTTTGCAACCCCGCATGGTTCATGTATAAAAAAGAGGCAGATAAAATATTAGTATCATGCAGAAAGCAGATGCAGGCACGAGTATAGAGAAGGAAGAAGAGGCAGCGAGAAGCAGTAGTTGGTTACTGACTCTCACTCACTGGGTGGCCATGTAGCTCTGATAATACTGGATGACATTTGACATAACGGACCAACTAATGACTCAGCTGCTGGTCTGCATCGCTTCATGTTTGCAGCTCTGGGTTTGTTGTAAAAAGCCACGAACTGAACCAGAACTAAATGGCAACAATGGATCATCTTCTATCCGTGGTACAGACCAAATGAACAGATGTGAACAGAAGCACATCAGGCTTCTGAGGCCATTTAACTACTGTTCAATATATTCTAGGATACACCCACATGCAACACATACTAGCACTGGCCTACCACTTTTGTCTATTGCTCCTCTGAGAATGTGTATTAGCAGTGTGAGACATTGATTTGTGGCCAAGCCCTTTTTTTTTATTTTTCTTGGGTTGTCAGTTTTTGATGTTATCAGTGGATCACCGTAGTCTTGCACAACCAGACCTACAGCATCTGCTGTATCAGCACTGGAGAGCGGTCTGACTGCACCTTTCCCAGTTCTGTTGTTAAAACACTTTGAGCAATCACACTTGTCTTGAACAGCCCTAAGCCCAGGATGCAGTGATGGTGCCCCCCTGCAGGAACTTGTGGAGGGCATGATTTGGCTCAGCGTTTACAGGAACAGCCAACTAATCGACCTTTTTCAGCCTTTCTGTTTCCATTTTAGTGCAGATTCTGGCAGCTTTGACTGCAAGACCAAGGACATACTGGACATAAATTCAGTTTATAAGCTCACAGGATGATGGGGGTTTGTCATGTTAACCTATATAATGAATGGTGATGTTAGAGAGGAGAAGACTGCTGTTTGATGAGGCCATCGAGAGGGCAGAAAAGAAGGCATTCTCCTGTCCTCTCTGAGTTTAATCAATGAGCATCCAACCTCACAAAGCAGTGTTTTAGGGCTAGTCAAAAATACTTTTTGATTCCCTGAAAACATTAAGATGCAAATAGGAGGCCATGTAAGGTTGGAAATGGCACACTGGCACTGGTGAGCCAGCCAGACTGTCTCATATGAATTTAGTGGAATCATAATGGATTTTATGTATGAACAATTATACATTCAGATTGGTGGATTTAAAAATTATATAACACAATATATGCAAGCCATGCGACACAATTTAGTGTCACCTCACACTTGGGATCTTTGTTACATTTTTAATGCAGGCTCTAAAAAAAAAAAAAAAACCAGCCTCTGTGTTTTTGGATTACAGGCTTCACAAACGACGTATAGCCGCCAGCAGCTTCGATGTTATAAATCTGGAAGTGACCTATATATGATTACATCTTCCTGTCGTCCAGAAGTCGTGTCTGGCACACGGTGGAGCAGTTTGTGTTGACCCAAAGCCAAGCGCTCTCCAGAGAGGAAACACGCTTCTACACTTACAGTCCAGCTGCAAGGATCAATGGACCAGTCGCCTCCATTCTGCTGAAGCATGGAAAACCATCCAGCACTGGTAAACAGAGGAGTGAATGGGCGCGTGTGTGTGTGTCATAACTGGTGTGTGTCTAAGGAGGAAGTGCTCTCCAAGAATGAATGTTGAGCCACTTCGTCATTGTTTGGCTGGTTGAAATGTGCAGCAGCGAATATTCACCTCATCCAGGAAGGTGTTTTGTCTGACACTACGGAGGTGATCGGTTTCAAGTCTGGGATTGCACTGAAGGGAAAAAAGCAAGATTCGACTTCACTCTTGACCTTACCGAAACACGTCTAAAGGTTACTGCAATAACTTGGGAAAACCAGCAGCGCCTCAATAAGATATTCCAATCCTGCATCAGTATTAACGTGACTCTAATAGTAATGGCACCTCCTTTTGAAAGTGGAGAAAGTGCTGTTACTACCCATAGCATACCAAAGTTGAATTCATTCATTAGTCATTTAATGGGCTTTAAAGCTCAGCCACTTGAAACCCACAAAGGGAAAAGCAATCAGTGTCCTCATTCAAATTTGGCACAGGGGCTTCACACAGCCTCGTTCCATCATTTGCACATGAAACTTGGATGAACTTTCCAAACATGTAATTGGAGGGTCAATGAGTGCAGAGTCAGGAGATGGGAAAATAACGTTCCACTGGCTCATCATTGGTTGTTTCTGTTGACTGTATGAAGGAGTGAATGGACACATGGAGACCTGTCTAAAGGCAGGAAGGTGGACTCACTGTTTAACATGGTGTCGGAGCCGGTTTGTTGTGTTCTCATGTAGTTATTGGATGGTTGCGCAATAGTTTTCCACTGTGATATCAAACTGCACCAACAGTACAGGTGTTGCGCACCTTCCTGTCTTTGCTGTTTGGGACCATTTCCAGTGTTTCTTGAACTTTTTCAACAGAGTAAAAACACACAAGTGATCAGAACGTGGTCACATCTGCTTCACAACTTAATCCACCTTCAGAAAAGTTACTCCTTTTGCGCACCAGCTCTCCCTACTCTCCCTGCACCGGGGGGCCCCTGGGGGTCTCCACCGGCTCCGGTTCTGGTGGGCAAGCCGCTGGCTCTCTGCCTCTTTCCCCGAGCAGGAGCGCCATGTTGAGGCTCCAGAGAGCACGCTGCTCCGCGCTGCTCTCACGGGGAGACGTTGCAAAAAGCACAGAGCAGCCGAGGTGTGTGAGGACGGGTCTTACCTTCGCTATGGCCTTTTTATACCTCATGGCCGCCTGTTCGATGAGACTGTGGACTTTTATATTCCCATCTCCACACGGAACGACCACCCGGGTCCTCCCGAAACACACCGTCACTTTCATTTCTCCTCCGCCGCGTTAATTCCAAACAGGAAAAAGCCGCGTAAAAACGACGATAACCATCCCCGGTGCGTCGCGGATCAAAAGCTAAATCCTCAGCTTGTGGATCCGAGTCAAGTTGTCTTGTTTGTGTCCTCGGAGGAAGCAGAGAGAAGCCCAGCAGAGGATCCAGCGGCGGGGCTGGGTGGCGTCCTCCCTGTGCCGTGTTGACTCACTTACAGAAACTTCCCAACAAAAAGCCTCTCCAGCGAGAGCGCACAACTGGACAGCTGACAACCGACAGTGCGAGCGCGCCCACATGTTAGAGCAGGCACTAAGAATGTTTCCGACACCAGCCAGTAGCTGCAGCACGGGCTGTGGAGCTGATCCAGTATCAGAATTATGAAGATATAAAAAATAAAAAAGTTGGGTTTGCAGGTTTGTATCAGTGGAGTGAGAGTGAAATGGAAAAGCTTATCGAATGAAATGTTTCCAAGTGCTTTTATGGACAGTTGGCACCATAAACTCTGGTCATTAGAACTGAAGAACAACCACATTTTATTTTATATTCAATCAGTGGCTGTAATCCTGGTTTGAGAAGAGTTTGATGCTGTGTTTGAAGTCAGGGCTGCTTTAACCGACTACTACTGGAGGGCAAAAATGAGTTATGCGCACCACTGACACCCTCCTCTGGGGCATTGGGGGCCCCTTGAAGACCTGGGGCAGCTTCCCAGTTTGCCCACTCTTGTTTGAAGCATATACCATGTTTAAAATTCACACACTTACACAATTACAAACTGTCACAGCACGACCCAGTCAGGACAGATACACATTATAACAAACATGTCACACAGCTCCTCTGGGCAAAGTTTATTAGAGTCTGGAAGAATCTCAAGGAATATATTGCAGCAAATATTACTCATTCATTACCAGATAGATATGAGAAGTGTTGGAGTGATTCAACACACTGTGTGAACAGATGTTGAATTTCACTTTGAATAAATGAGAAGCGCTGAGCGAGCTGGACTCCCCGGCACAAAGTTCTCACATGGAGGCGCTGAGCTTTGACTGATCTGCACTTACGCCACTGATTGCAAAGCATATATTAATGTGATGTGTGTGTGTGTGTGTGTGTGTGTGTGTGGGTATAAACTGCTGACCCGCAGTGCAGGAGGAGGAATGGGCCCGAGGCTGAATATAAAGTACGACCCAGTTTACCTCCTTTCTGTGGAGCTGCTCTCGCCTGCTTGCAGCTCTGGCTCTTTATGATCTAATGTGGTCCAAGTGAGTGAGCACCACTGCAGGATCTGTTTTCCAAACTGTACCATAAGTGAATTTAAAAGTCATTGATGCTGTGTGTCATCCCTACATCTGTACTCCTTTCCGTTGAAGTTCGCTGATCCAGGGTCACACTGCTGGGCTCAAGGTACAGTATATGTGTTCATCTTGACCTTGTGGAGCCGCCGCAGTGTTTCTGACTCCAGAATAAAACTATACGAACACACGTGAATGCTTTTAATTATACTGAACTCATAAATAGTGCAATGTGAAAAGCTGTTGTGAACTGTTTCTACTGGTTAATAAGCTTTGACACTACTAACACTCCCTCTAGTGGCAGCTTGGAGGAAAAGTTCCCAAAACAATGAGTTTATGAAAAATGTCATTGCTAAGTTTGACAAAAAACTCACTTATTAACTTTTAGATAATCAAACCCTGCAGCAGGCCTCTTATTCTTTTAATCAATTAGACGTCTTTCAAGTGATTTTTCTTTATATTTGCATTAGAACACAATTGTGACCATAAAATCCAAACCGATTTTCAGCCTGAGAGTTATTGCGCACTCATTAATCTCACTCATTTACTGTGTCACGCTGCTACAGTAAGATAAGAGCACAGTCTGGGATGCTGCACATCAGGAATGCAGGGAGGAGGAGGAGGAGGAGCAAGACAGCGGTGGAAATAAAGGTCCTGTGTGTTGTTGTGGAGCTTAAAACCCCTCTTCTTGTTGATCATCTCTTAGAGGCGTCTTGTTTTGCCTGTGAGCAGAGAGAAGCTGCATGTGTGGGGGACATGAAAGGAATCACACGTGAAGCCGAGAGCCAAGTTCAGTTCTTCTCTGCTGCTGCTGGCTGGTTCACATGCACGAGAGTTCTAGATTTAACGTATTGATTGGCTGACTGATTGATCCTGCACCTTTTTCAGGCCATGTGGGCAGTGACAGTCAGGCTATTTATACAGGGGCAGGTAGGCTGAGACTGTTTTTCTTTCTGTGTGGGAAATCACTGCAGGCCAAGTCGCTGCACTTTTTTGCTCACTTGTTTTTATCATTTGTTCACACAGAGAAGACTTCTATACAGATGGACTCATACTTTATAAGATTCTGTATCCTAATATAATTTAAATTATGCACACACTAATGTAATTTAAATTACATTTAGGGGATTTAACTCCAACTCTGTGTGTGTGTGCACAGGCCTCTAACAGGCTTCAGGATGCATGTTGGCTTTCTAGACCACATGACACATGAATGTACAGTTTAATAAATTTGGAATCGTACTTTTTAGATGATTCTCATGCCCTGATAGATTAGATATAGTTGTATAATTAGTCTCAGTGGTAAAGTATCAGTTTGCAGCTGAGCACAAAGGAACCTTTCCATGCTCTACACATGTGGTTTTACATAG